TTGTGGTGCACGGGCTTAGATGCTCTGCAGCATGCGGGATCTTCCTGGACCAGGGCTCGAACTCATGCCCCCTGCAGTGGCAGGCGGATTCTTAACCACTGCACCATCAGGGAAGCCCCATGTCTGTTGTTTTAAGTCACTCACTTTAGGTACTTTGTTATGGCAGCCCTAGGAAGTTAATATAATAAATATCGAAATATCTGTATACATATATAGATATAAAATAGATAGTCTCCCTTGCCTATATATATCATATATTGTACAAAATGAGAGTATACCGGCTGTGTCAGTGTTTTTCAATGTGTGGTCTGAGGAACCCCTGCATTGCCTGGGGACCTCATCAAAAGTGAAGATCCCTGGACCCCTCCCAGACCTACAGGACAAGGCTCTCTGGGTGCAGCCCCCAAATGGGCATTTTAAGCCAGCTTCCCAGGTGATTCTGAAGGACCCGGAGGCCTGGAACTCCAGTGGTCCGCTGGATGTGGCCGTGAGGGTGACTTGAGGGCAGGTGGGAGGAGATTCGTCACTGAGGGCCCTGGAAAGCATCCGAGCAGAACAGGAGGGACAAGGACAGACTGTTCTGCGGAGGGGAGGTGGCTGGCGTGCCTTCCACGAGGCTGATGTGTGCTGGGCCCAGATGTCCGGGGTCACAGGCACCCAGCTCTTCCCCCTTGCAGCTGCCTGTGGGAGGAGCCAGGAGCACAAAGCCTGCTTGGCACGCTCCCTCTGCACGCCTGGCCTTCCCAGACGCTTCGGCAGTTGCTGCATGTCAGGATCTTCCAGGAATCCAGGGCCCAGGAAAGAGGCCGGGGCTGACATCCCAGAAGCAGCTGGTGGGATGGGCCACAGGCCCATCTGGAAGTTTCCGGGCCTCAGGGAACACTTATGTAAGCAGTTCAGAGGGATGTTTGGACGGTGGATTAGCTTGGGGGCTGAGGACAAAGGAGCACCCCACACGCTGCGCCGAGGGTCAGGGCAGCCCCTCCCATCCAGTCTGTGTAACGAGGACCATCCCTTATCCTCAAGTGGGAGCCAGGGAACCCGGGAGAAGCCCTTAGCCCAGCCCTGGGAAGAGACTGTCCTTTATCCCGCATGACCCCTGCGTGCTCCACGCTGCCGGGGGAGGAGGGGCGGATGCACATGTGTAAGCTCTCCTTTTGCTTCATCACTCAGTTGCCGGAGAGCTTGGCACGCGGTCGGCGTTCGCTACAGTTTGCTGAGTGAATGCACGGACGCATGGACCATGTTTCTGCCCGGGAGCTGGAATCTGGGCCGAGCAGGGCTTCTCAGAGTGGGGTGCCCGGCCAGCAGCATCAGCATACCCTGAGAACTTAGTAGAAATGCAGGTTCCTAGGCCCCGCCCAGACCTCTTGAATCAGAAAGCCGATGGGTGGGTGATAAGCTATATAACCATTGTGGGTCCTGCTGCCTCCCCGACGGAGAGAATTACTGTGTAAAGTGGTGACGGTCAACCCTGGCTGAGTGCTAGCATCACCTTGGGAGCCTACAGCACAAAACCGGCACCAGGCTCCCCGCAGGCCGGCAGATCAGAGTCCCTGGCACAGGGCCGGGCCTTAGCTGCGTCCCGTGATTCTCTTGGGCAGCCGGATTGCGAACACACACCGGGCCTGGGAAGTGACACGGGTTTGGGTTCAAATCCTGGCCCTGCCTCTTAACAGCTGGGAGACTTTGGGGAAATCAGTTTCTCCATCTACAAACAGAGGACAGTAGCAGCAGAACCCTTCTCATAGGTGCCATGGAGAGTCAGGTGTTCATTTCTGTCTCGTGCTCCCAGCAGCGTTTGGGACAGAGCGACTAGTAAGCGGGAGTTGCTATTATTGGTAGTAGTAGTATTACGATTCTTACTATTCCTCCTGCTATATTATTACTACTACTGTTACTACCAGGATTACGATCGCTACTATTACTACTGCTACTATTACTCCTGCCATCACTATTATTACTATTACTACCATCATTACCACTGTCATGACTATTGTTACTCTTGCTACCAGTATTAATACTGTTACCACTGTTATGACTACCACTGCTATTACTATCATTACTAGCATTGTTATCATTGCTACGACTAATACTATTACCATTATTACTACCATCAGTAGTACACTGCTATTGCTACAGCTTCTATCATAACTGCTGTTAGTATTATTACTATTAGTATTATTGCTACTATGACTATCACTACTGCTGCTTTTTGTCAAGGCAGAAGAACTCGGTCTTCCAAAGTTCTTTAAGGAGGGACAGTCACCTCTCACGCAGGCTCAGGTCTGGACTCTTGGATCAGGAACGCAACTGAAAGTCCAACCCTTTGCAGAACCAAAGGGGTCATGGTCTTCCCGGGCCTCCAGTGCTACAGCATCTGGCTGCACCCACGGTGGGGGAAAGCCCTTTGGCAATCACTGGCTGGAGGCCGCAGAGGCCTGGAGCACGGCCTCCTTCCCCTGCATTTGCATTTGGGGGGTTCATCTCCCTGGAATGGGGCCGCGATCTTCCCCAGACGGTCGGCAGGGTCCCCCTGTGCCAGACTCAGTCCTTCAGGCTCACGTTTTAAAACGTTTCAAGCTTTTGTCCTTCCTGAGCAAACAGATGGGATTTATGGGGGAGGTTGCCTCCGAGTGGCTCTTCCCCACCCAAATCCTATCTTCTCGGGGTCAGACGTGAAACAAAACAGTGCACCTCTTCACGCTTTTGAAGCCAGGGAAGGGAACACCTCACTTTTTTAGAAAGGCCCAAGTACTGCAGGAAGATGTCAAGCACTTGGACTGTGGCGTGCTTTGCACGTTTCTTTGGGAGAGCAAGGGAGAAAATGTGACACTGAACTCAAAAAAGAAAACTCTTTTAGAATTCAGAATACAATCCACACACCTGGATTTAACAAATGGAGCAAAAATTTCTTGCAGAGATGGTGAGGACAGAGCCTGGCTGGCAGCTCCTGGTGGAAATGGGTGAGGTTAAACTATGGAGTTCCAACAATGGGACTTTTCTCTCCCTGCTCTGAGCAGCCAGACTTACTCTCTGGAAAAAACTGAAAAACGACCTCCATCAGAGGCAAGGATTGTCCTAGAATTGATCGAATGCACATCGATTTTCACTTGTGGTTTTCCCTAATTATTGTATTAGTACATGGTCATTAGCGATCATTTGGCAAACAGAGAAAGGTAGAAAGAGGAGAATCCCGCGTTCAGAGAGAACCTCTGTTGATCTTTGGTGAATTTCCTTTCAGTCTTTTTTTTTGTACATTTTAAAACAAGGATATTGTACTGCAGATTACGTTTTGTATTTTTTAAATTTACCACGACAAAGATTTTTCTTTCCCCCTCCCACCTGAGTTACCTGGCCAGGCAGACACCGCCTGGACGAGTTTCTCTAAGCCAGTCACCTGGAGGTGACTGTGACCCTGCCTTCTCCCTCTGCCCAAAGCCCATGAACCCCCAAGTCCTGTCAGGGTGGCCCCCTCAGTATCTCTCAACCCACCCACTTCTCTCCATCCCCTCGGCCACGCCGCCCAGAAGTGGAGGGAAGCACTTTAGAAATATTTGGCTGTGGGCCTCTCACCAGGGCTGGGCTAAGGTCTCCTCCCGGCTTCCCTGGCTCCCACTCTGAACTCCAACCATCCATTCTCCACACTGTAGCCAGAACACACTTCCAAAATGCAAATGTGATCATGTCCCCCGCCCTGATTAAAACCTCAATTGCCGTAGCCCACTGCTCCTAGGATAAAGACCGGATTCCTCCTCCAGGAAGCCTCCCTGACTGCACACATGAACGCGCCCACTTCATGGCACCGCCCGCCCCCGGCTGCCATTCTCGAGGGTGTTGGCGGGTCCACCGTCCAGCATCCCTGAATCACGGCACCTTTGGGAACCACTCCATCAGCGGTGCTCAGCCAAGAGCAAGCACTCTGAGAACGCATCTGTGGATGAATGAGCGCCATCCATAAACAGTGTTGGAGCAGCCTTATTATTCACATTGCGATTTCTTAAGTCTTGCCTTCTTGCCGGAAGTTAGGATACGTGGTCACGCAGTGTGGTGCATCTCTACACAGCCACAAAATTTTGGCATTGCCATCTTAAATGGTGAGGGTGGTGTGGTCACTCCAATTTCATCTGGTTCTTAGTCTACAGGCTTTCTGGGGAAATAGTTCGGCAAAAAAGTGGAGACTAGAGACAGTGGTCCCTGAAAACCGTGTTAGTTACCTGCATCCTTGCCTCCCAGGCATGGAAGGAGCAGCCCCAACCTGGGATGTCCCCTCTCCTGGGGTCAGGAGATGCAGTTGTCCTGTGACCATTATACTAATCACTGAAGACCACTGGCAAAGAGAGAGCCGCCTGGGGCCATTCTGAAAGGCAGCTGCCCAGGTGAGCTGAGGCCACACAGGTCCAGCCCAAATGAAAACACTGTTGGAATCTTCCCAGGGGCCAGCTTCTGAACTGTCTCTCCTCGACTATACTTTGGGGTGAGGTCCCCAAGCCCCTGGGGCCAATGTAGCAATGACACAGGAAGAGGCTACTAAGGGGTGAAACGTGGAGCCTGAGGTTTGCTGGGACCCATCCCTGCTGACACTCTAGGGTTTTCCTAAGGTCCCCTAAGGTTTGCCATCGCTGTTCTTTTGGTTAAAATAATATTCTCTTCCAAAGGGGCAGGTGGTGAGGTTTGTGACTCTTGCTCTTGGCAAAGAAACAAGGGGAAAAACAAACCCACACAGTCTGGAAGGAAAGGAGCTGGCCAAAGAGTGAGATTTGGACCTAGTTCCTTAGCATCTGGGCCACAAATGGAGAAAATGAAGTGTTTCAGCCTCAAAATCATCGTCATTCTGATCAACATCGCCGCCGTCATCATAAAGTTTGTCCAGCCCTGAGCCAAGGCTGTGGGCACTATTACTGTCTGTATTTTAGGGACAAGAAGGTGGAGGTTTAGACTCAAGATGTCAGGGCTTCTAAGTGGCAGGGCTGGGCCTGCCCCGCACGCAGATTCCTTACCTGGGCATCCTTGTCTGCGGTGTTCCCCTGCTTCCCGGACATCCAGGCAGCTCCAGCAGGTAGACGGCTGAGAAGCTGAAAGATCAGGTTGAGTGGGGACCTTGGGCCCAATTTTCCCATTGGTGTGATCCCTCCAATTTCATTATCAGGGGGAAGAAATCTGGCTCTTATAGAAATTCTTATAGAATTTCTGGGGAAATAGCTCAGCAAAAAGTAGACACTAGAGACAGTGGTTCCTGAAAATCCTGTTAGCTATCTGCATCCTTGGCTCCTGGGGATGGAAGGGGTGTCTCCTCTCCTGGAGTGGGTTCTGGTCTCCCCATAGATGTCACCCCTCTTGCTCTTAGGAGGGTGTGGCAGTGTTCCAGTGTGGAGCCCAAGGCCACCACGTCCTAGCCACAGCACCTCGGGCAAGTTAATTACACGCCTGGAGCCTCAGTTTTCCCACCTATAAAATGGGCTCAGGGTACCTAACTCACAGATTTGCCGGGAAGCATTTTGCCCCCTCTCCTCCTTTGGGCCTTGGTGTAACTTATTTCCACCTGGAAGCCTTTCCGCTCCCACTCTGCTCCGGACAAGTAGGTTCCCAGAGCACCTCTCCTTGGACCCTCCTCACCCTTGAAATTCCTGTCCTGTGTCTGTTACTTCCCTGAGGCCGAGGGCGGGGGCGGGGTCTGCCTCGTTGACCCTGGAACCACCAGGGTCAGCTCCAGTGCCTGGCACACAGTGGGTGCTTTTGGCCTCTCTGGAGCTGGGAGGGAGAGGCGAGGATGTCCAGGGCAGCCGGGGCCTCTCAAACAATCCGAGCAATGGGCCACCCACCTGAACGTGGTAACCTGCGGCAGCCACTGGGGGACTGAGAGTGCACAGGTGTGTTTCAGTGTCGGTGGATGTCGAGAATCTTAAAGACAGGTGCCGGGCCACGCTGCGACATCACAGATTTGGGGCTACTTCCTTTTTTTTGGTTGTTATTTTCTGTAACTTTTTATTTTGGTATAATTACAACAGAAAAGTTGCAATAATAGAGGGGATTCCCGTGTACCTTCACCCAGATTCATTTACATTTTACATTCTTTCCCTATATACGTTTTCATGTAAATATAATATATACGTAAGTTGCAAACATCAGCCACTTTTCTCCCTAAACACTCTGGTGTGTGTTTCCTAAGAACACGACTTTCTATTACCTAAATACAATAAAATGACCCAAATCAGGAAATTTAGCATCTTACCAGAGTATAATACAGCCGAACCTCAGAGATATTGCTGGCTCGATTCCAGACCACTGCAATAAAGCAAATATTGCAATAAATCACCTGAATTTCTTGGTTTCCCAGTGCATATGAAAGTTATGTTTATACTATACTGTAGTCTGTTAAGTGTGCAATTACATTAAGTCTGAAAAAACAATGTACGTGCCTTCATTTAAAAATACTGCATTGCTAAAACATTCTAACCATCCTCCGGACCTTCAGCGAGTCGTCCTCTTTTTTGCTGGTGGAGGGTCTTGCGTGGGTGTTGATGGCACTGACTGATCACGGCGGTGGCTACTGAAGGATGGCATGGCTGCGGCAATTTTTTTTTTTTTTTTTTTTAGAGAGCAGAAAAATAATTTATTCCAAAGGAGGGCAGAAATAAGAAATTCATCCTGAAAATATATTTTGGTATAATTCTGGTGGGACAGATTTTCCCTCTGAACATGTTCTCCTACTGACTGCCCCACTGGAGTCTTATTGTCATGTAACAGTTCTTAAACACTTCGCTGATTCTCATGTTGTGAGCAGGTGGGGGCCATCTTCAAATCCACAGTCTCCAAGGAGAGAGTAATGTTATTTCTCAGAAGAAGAGCATTTTCTACCTCGGAAGAGTACGTACACATTTTATAGAGGCAGCAGAGTTTACATTCAATACGCACATCATTCATCAAAGTGCAAAAAAGGCGACAGGAAAAAATACTGCATTGTAGAATAAGACATTCAAATGTGGTGGGAACGTTTAAGGCAGCTGACGGCCAAAGTGGGCGAGGCAAGGAAGGTGGTCTGGGTATGGAGGTGATTTTGCATCTAGAGGAGTTCTCTTCGTGACCTCAATGACTGAGCCCTGGCGAGCAGGTCTTCTTACTCAAGGCCAATGATGCTTGAGGTACCAGATGGTTTCATTTTTCAACTGTGGTCCAAAGAGAGGGTTGAGTTGGGCCAGAATTGCAATCAGCCAAAAGAGGTAGCCGCAAACGGAACAGGTCACCAACATGGTGATGATAACTCCCCGGTTGGGACCCTGACGGATGAACCAGGGCACCAGGAAACCGACGAAGCCCTAGAACACGCTCATCACGATGAGAGGCACGGCGAGGCCGGTATACGCCATGGTTGCTGGGGGAGGTGCCAGCCCTGCCCCGCCACCTCACTCGCGGCAATTTCTTAAAATAAGAGAACAGTCAAGTTTGCTGCATCGATTGACTTTGGTGACCAAGTCCTCTGTAGCATATCGTGCTGTGTGATAGCATTTGACCCACAATAGAACTTCTTTCAAAATTGGAGTCAGTCTTCCCAAACCCTGCTTTATCAGCTAAGTTGATATAATATTCTAAATCCTTGGGACATCCCTGGCGGTCCAGTGGTTAGGACTCCACGCTTCCTCTGCAGGGCACACAGGTTCCATCCTTGGTTGGGGAACTAAGATCCTGCATGCCGCCCAGCATGGCCAAAAAAAAAAAAATATTGAAATCCTTTGTTGTCATTTCAACAATCTTCACAGCATCTTCACCTGGAGTAGATTCCATCTCAAGAAACCACTTGCTTTGTTCATCTATAAAAAGCAACTGCTCATCCATTCAAGTTTTATCATGAGGTTACATCAATTCCGTCACGTCTTCAGGCTCTACTATTTTTTTTAGACCTTATTTCCAGTGCACTTTTGTTTTCTTAATTAATTTATTTATTCTTGGCTGCCTTGGGTCTTCGTTGCGGTGCACAGGCTTCTCATGGCGGTGGCTTCTCTTGTGGAGCATGGGCTCTAGGCGTGCGGGCTCAATAGTTGTGGCACGTGGGCTCAGTAGCTGTGGCTCGCGGGCTCTAGAACGCAGGCTCAGTAGTTGTGGCGTGCGGGCTTAGTTGCTCCGTGGCATGTGGGATCTTCCCGGACCGGGGCTCGAACCCGTGTCCCCTGCACTGGCAGGTGGATTCTTAGCCACTGTGCCACCAGGGAAGCCCCCAGGCTCCACTTCTAATTCTAGTTCTCTTGCTGTTTCCACCGCATCTGCAGTTCCTTCCTCCACTAAATCCTGAACCCCTGAAAGCTGTTCATGAGGGCTGGAATCGACTTCTTCCAAACTCCGGTCAATATTTGGACCTCTTCCCATGAACCATGAATGTTCTTAATGGCTGTTTCCTCTACAGTGATCATCTCTTGTTCAGTGCAGCCACCTTCATGGATGACCTGAGCCACAGCTTCTGGAGGACTTGCTGCAGCTTTCCCCTCAGCACCTGCGGCTTCACCTGGCACTTTCGTGCTACCGAGGCGGCTTCTGTCCTTCAACCTCATGAACCGACCTTTGTTTCAGACTTTCCTCCTGCAGCTCCCTCCCCTCTCTCAGCCTTCGTAGAACTGGAGAGAGTTGGGGCCTTGCTCCGGATTAGGCTGTAGCTTCAGGGAATGTGGCTGGTTTGATCTTCTATCCAGACCACTCAGACTTTCTCCATATCGGCAGTAAGGCTGTTTCCTCTTCCCATCAGTGTGTTTACCGGAATAGTGCTTTTAATTTCCTTCAAGAACTATTCCTTTGCATTCACAACTCACATAACTGGCACAACGGGCCTCTGGCTCTGCTTTCCACACGCCTTCCTCACTAAGCTTCATTGTTTCTAGCTTTTGCTTTAAAGTGAGAGATGTACGACTCTTCCTGAAACACTAAGAGGTTATTGCAGGGTTATTAATTGGCCTAATTTCAATATTGTTGTGTCTCGGAATAGGGAGGCCCGAGGAGAGGGACAGAGGGCAGAACGGCTGGTCTATGGATTGGTCAGAACACACACGATATTTATGGATTAAGTCTGCCTTCTAATATGGGTGTGGTTTGTGGTGCCCCCAAACAATTACAAGAGTCACCTTAAGATCACTGATCACAGATCCCCATAACAAATATAACAACAACGGAAAAGTTGGAAATATTGTGAGAATTACCAAAATATGACACAGAAACAGGAAGTGAGCAAATGCTGTTGGAAAAACGGCACTGGTAGACTTGCTAGACACAGGGTCGCCACGAACCAGCAATTTGTAAAAAACACAGTATCCACGAAGTGCAGTAAAGTGCAATAAACCAAGGTTGGCCTGTACTATTAGGGTATCATAGTATATTTTGTGTACTCTAACATGTCACAATACTACTGTGTAACCCACAGCTCACTCTCAAGGTCAGCCCAGCGAAGCCTCTAAGAAGCCTTTATTTCCCGGGTCCAGGACCCACGTGTGTGTAGTTATCCCGTTCCTTTGTCTCCTCCGATTTGGAATGGTTTCCTGGACCGTCTTTCTTTCTTGACTTGCTTTTAAGAGTGTCCTTCTTGGACTTCCCTGGTGGCACAATGGTTAAGAATCCACCTGCCAATGCGGGGGACTCGGATTCGAGCCCTGGTCTGGGAAGATGCCACATGCCGCGGAGCAGCTAAGCCCGTGCACCACAACTACTGAGCCTGCGTGCCGCAACTACTGAAGCCCGTGTGCCACAACTGCTGAGCCCGCGCGCCTAGAGCCCGTGTTCCACAACAAGAGAAGCCAACACAATGAGAAGCCCACGCACCGCAACAAACAGTAGCCTCCGCTCGCCGCAACTAGAGAAAGCGCGCGCATAGCAACGAAGACCCAACACAGCCAAAAAAATATATAAATAAATGAATAAATTTATAACAAGAAAAGTGCCCTTCTTGTTTTGACGCATGAGTTGGGAACTCTGAAAGCCATTCGGAGCCAAGTTTGGAGAATTAAGTGTGTTACGAGACTGATGCCCACCTTTCTGGTCACATCCTATCACGTGGCCCTGAAATGTGGCTGTGAGCGACCCGGGGTCAGGGACTCCCTCTGAGGGTGGCGTGGCCTAGCGGTCAGGAGCAGGCAGTTTAACCCAACTGCTTGGGCTCAAATCCTGGCTCTGTTCCTTCCAGCCTGTGTGACCTTGGGTAAGTCACCTACCCTCTCTGTGCCTCAGTTTCCTCATCGGTGAAATGGAGATAATACTGGTAGCTACCGCATGAAGCTGTTTTGAGGACTGACAAGTTAATATTTGTAAAGAGCTGAGGACAGTGCCTGGCTCGGGTGAAATGGGGAGGATTTTTGGAACACGGTGGCTGTCTGGTTTCAACCATACAATCTTAAAGATGCAGTGTGTGTCACATTAATTCTGGGTACAGTGGCTCGGTCTTATGAAAGTATTCGTGCTCCCCGCTGTTCCTTTACCCTGGACTCTCCCTTTACACACACACACACACACACACACACACACACACACACACACACACACGAGGAAACACAAGACTTCCTTTTCTCCGTTGATTTTCTAAGCCCAGAACACCAGGCGGGAAGTACATTTAAACTGTCACCTGAGGCTCCCAGCCTCCAGTCCACTGCCTTCCGAGACTCCGGCTGGAAAAGGATTGGTCGCCACTCCCCAGACAACTCACCGGGAGAATTATTCCCCTTCACTATTTTCTCTAGAATCACTGAACGAGGCGGGCAGGGTGAACATGGGGAAGGGGGCCTTGCAGAAACAAATCCTCTTCTTGTAGGGCTGGGGAAGCAGCCTGTGGATCCAGCTCACAGGTTTCCTGCACAGGGAAATCAAATTCTCCCCCTTCCATCCGTGTGGGCTCGGTTTATAACCACACACATCCTCACCTACAGCCCAGGGCTCCTGACACCGGAAAACAGGGCCAGGCTCCCATGGGCTTCTGCTGGTCTAGTCTGGTCAGTTTCATGTTCATTCATTCACTCATTTGTTCATCCATGTGCTGCTGGTATGAGCACATTTTGTTGCTCAGCTATTTTTATAACCATTCACTTATTATTGTGATACAATCAGACACATTTGCAGGGCTTCCTTTGTTATCGTATAATTGACCAGCCTTTATCAAATAGTCCAGGTGCTGTTTTAAACACCTTACACACACTATCTCATCGACCCCTCGTGACCGCTCTATGAGATAGGTACTATGATTGGGCCCCTTGTACAGATAAGGAAATGGAAGCACAGAGAAGTTAAGGAATTTGCCCAAGATCACACAGCCAGAAGGGGCCCCACAGGGACTCTAACCCGGGAGCTCCTCATTCTCTAGTTATACTCCCTTGCTTGATGATACCAGAGATGAAAAAGATTTTTGAGATGGTGAGAGAAGCTGATGGGCACGTGGTTTGAGGACGAAGCCCAGCTCAGGCCTATGAGCTGTGGGACAAGTCTCCAAGGCGGGTGGGTCTCCCACTGGGGCTCAGAGAGGGACCTCAAAGACCGCCTACACTCAGCAAGTGGAGTGGACCTGGGATCCAGCACAGGTGTGAGGTTCTGGCTGTGCACCTGGGTGCTGTGTGCCCCGCCGTAGCGGCCAAGGTCACAGAGGGGCAGCTGGGTCTACGGGAAGGTTTGGCTAGCATCTGGTTCTGCCTCTTGTCTGCATGACTTTGGCCCAATGATTTAACTCGGGCCTCTGACAAGTGGGCATAATAACAATTCTTATGTCATGGGGCTGACGTGAAGACAAGATAAAGCATTTTAGCATGCTCAGCTCAACAAGGAATAGGAAAGAGGGCCCTTCACTTTGACATTGCACTGTATTTGTTACCTTAAAGCCAGCCAAGGGAAAGCTTCCGGAAAGGCGGGAGTGGAGGGGGTGGCAGTGTGGTTTGAATTAAGCTGTTTATATGCACCCTCGTCCAGTGACAAATGGCTGTAGCGACGGAGCAGCGTGGTTTCAATTTTCCATCTGGGATCAGACGTCTCGTGGCTCTGCCAGCCTTGTCTGGAAGTGGGCAGGTCGTCCTAGCAGCCCTGGGAAGGGGGGAAGGGGCTGTCTTGATCCTGCCGCCTGCTCCAGGCCTGGTCTGCCTGCGCCACCAGACCAGCCGGCGGGGGAAGACAGTCCTCGCAGACCTCGCCTGGGCCTCTCTGGGACTTGCGAGCTGTCCTCGCTGCTGTGTCCACAGGCACCCCTGCGTGACAAGGCCATCTTATCTGGGGGCAAAACCGTGTTAGCCCAGGTCCACGCCCATCAGTAGACATGCTTCATCTCAATCCACCCATGGGCCAGGGCTGGTGCTTCCAGGCCAGCCCAGCAGGGAGGGTCGGGCCGTATCGGCAGCCGGAAGGGCAGGCTGGACTTCTGGTCATTTCTGTCTTGATTTCCGTAGTCCCACGGAGTGCAAGCGCTCGCCAGAGGCAACTCAGGCTGGAAAGAAACTCGTGATCAAGGCAGGTCTGGAACTGAGCTCGGGACAGATAGGCCTGGGCGGGACCCGCGGCCCTGGGGGCCTGGGCAAGGTGCTCGGCCGCGCTGGGCCTCGGTTTCCCCATCTGTAAATGGGGTACTGTGGGGTTGTGGCGAGGAATAAACAGGGGATGCCTGTGAGGTGCAGTGAATTTTCCAGCCACCCACGCCTGTGAGGAAACTTGACCTTTAGATCTCAAGTCCCCCCCAACTAATGAACTTGGTAGAATAAAACTGGTCATTCAGGGAAAGGCATCCTCGTTTTCCTTGTTGTTTCAAGTTTAAATCAGTTCATTCGGAAGGCCCTCCTTCCCCCCTTCTCCTTGAGGTGGTTTTTAATGGCCTTTAAAAACAGAAGTCAGAGCCCAGCCCACCTGTGGCCCCCATTCCCCTGGAGTCAAACCCCAGTCCTTCCCACGGCCCGATGGCTGTCCCCAGTCTGTCCTCAGCTCTCGCCGCCCCTGCCCGTGCTCTCCCGCCCTGTGGCCTCCGTTGGGCCCTTGGACCAGGCACGTTCTCTCCCCAGCACCTTGGGGCTCGCCGCTCCCTCCACCTGGAACTCTCCGCCCTCTGACTGCCACTGGGCTCCTCCCTCACCTCCATCCCCCTTTTCAAATGTCACCTTCTCAGGGACCTGACCTCACCTTCCTGACCACTCAGTGTAAAATACCAACAGCCCCAGCCTCGGCACTCCCTGCCCCCTTCCCCGTTCTCTGATCTTTATAGTACTTCTCACCAACTGACATAGAACGTGTGTAACTTGTTTTGTTTAATGCCTGCCTCCCCCACATGAATGTAAGCTCCATGTGGGAGCAGACACACTTGTATCTACTGGTTTTTTTCATCTGTAGTGTCTCTAGGACCCAGACAGTGCCTAACACACAGTAGGTGTTCAATAAACGTCAGATGGATGGAGGGAGGGATGAATGGATGGATGGATGGATGGATGGGTGGATGGATGTGTGGATGGATGGGTGGATGGATGGATAGATAGATGGATGGATGGATGGATGGGTGGGTGGGTGGATGGATGGATGGATGGGTGGATGGATGGGTGGGTGGAT